ACTTGCTGATTGATAGGTTGGCAGTTTGAATCCGGGGAGCAAGGTGAGCTCCAGCTGATAGCCTCAGCTTCTGCCAATCTAGCAGAAGCTGGGGCTAACATGCAAATGTAAGTAGATCAATAGGTACTGCTCTGGTGGGAAGGTAACAGCACTCCATGCAGTCATGCTCACCACATGACCTTGGAGGTGTCAATGGACAATGCCGGCTCTTTGGCTTAGAAATGGAGATGAGCCCCACCCCCCACAGTTGGACATGACTAGACTTAATGTCAAGGGGAAACCTTTACCTTTATATACACATACATGCATGAGCTAGCATAGAGTTAACACCCATGTGGTGTTTGTTTTGCTGTCTGTGACCCTGTTCAGAAGATTTCTGTTCTGTAATAATTGGATATTGAAAAGTGTGGCATTTTGTAGAAACAAGGATTGGTGGGAAAGCTCAATTGAGATACCTTTTCTACATGATAACTCATTCAGGAATGAATTTGCCTTCCGAGGGGTAGATTTCTCTCACTTCCTATTGTCTCAGCCCTGTTCTTAACTATGAATTGTTTATAAGTTGGATGTTTGTAACTTGGAGTCTGCCTGTATAGCTTGTTGAACTTTGCAGTCGCAACAAATTCTATTTGCCTATACAGTCAAACTCTCTTTCTCTCCCTACCCCCTCCGCCCCGCCTTTCCTGCCTTGTTTGGTGTGATCATAGAAGCCTGGAAGATTGTACAATTTTTTTTGGTAGCAGAATGTGACTTTTGCTGATGGATCCACAAATCCCTTAATAACACAGATAAGGAAACCAGAATTCTGAATTCTACAGTTTTGCTTTGAAATACTTCAAGTTCTGAATATCACATGTTGACACAGTCCTGACAGCATATCTGTGCCAAAGTCATTTCTGGTCCAGAAACAATAGTTCAAAAAGCATCCAGACACAACATCTGGAAAGCCTCCGAAGTGGAATCTTGGGTGTTCCTAGAAACAGCACACCCTTGTATACTAGTTGCTGGGAAACAGGAGGGAGGGTGCTTTTCTGCACACCTCCTACTTCTAGGTTTACCACAACTGCATTGAGTAGATCTTGGAAGCTAAGCAGAATCAGCTCTGGATAGTACTTGGATGGGAGAAGACTGCCAAAGAACACCTAGAATTTTAGAGGATGGAACTAGCAAAACCACCTCTGTGCACACACACACATATTACAAGTAATGGGTTGGCTACTCTGAGAAACAAAAGCTGGAGTAGAGCAGAGGTATTCTTAAATTAGGCCTAGGAAAAGATGCCACGCTGTCTTATACCAAGATGGATGTTTTTCTAACTTTTTTCATAAGCAATCAATGACAACATCAAATAATAAACATATAAATTATGAGGCTGTCTCGGAGTTGCTATGGGACCATCTTGCATTAGCACCATTCGGCTCTCCTTGTGCAGCAGAGCACATCCTAGAACTGAAGTGCATGAACTGAGCAGAGCCGATTATTTGAGAAATAAATCCTGCCAAAATGAAAGTTCATGCATTTTAATTGGAATGTATGTTGCATGTGCTCAGCTTGGCTTCGCAAAGACCCCCTCTCTTTTTCCCTGAACTTCCCCTTAGCTCAGTGGGGTGGACTATCAGAGCTTAGCCATATGTAAACATTGTTATCTTCTAAACAGAAGACTAGACATAGAGACTTTATGATGAATGTAGGAAAATCTCTTTGGGTTTTATGTTTTTGATCACACCGAAGTCACAGAACGTAAGACGTACCACACACCATGCTGGTGAGAAGAATCAGATGAGACTAAAAGCCCCCCTAGCCTAGCACTGTGTTCACACAGCTGCCAACCAGTTACCTTTGGGAAGCATGACAGAAACTGCACCTCACACCTCTTGTTTCCCAGTAATTGATAATCAGAGGACTCTGATGTGCAAGTACAAAGAACCCTCGGTGTATGTCGCGGGTTGGTTGCCGGATTCCATGTAGATAGCAAAAGACACAGCTGCTGGAGTCCTTATTTTACAATAGTGTACAACAGTCAAAGCCTCCAACAGTATATTACTCAGGTCCACAACAATTACTTAAATCCCCGTTTGGCTATAGAAACCCATTGTGTCCCCTTGGAAAAGTCACTCTCAGAGGAAAGGCAAATGCTAAATTTTACCAAGAAAACCCTGTGATAAGGGTCAATTGCGGGCTGCCTTTATTATTGCTTAGGAATTAATCATTAAAGTTCACATCTGATAATCCCTGGAAAGACTCGGCTCCATAGGTGGACCAATTTTGCACAATCATTTGGAATCTCAACCCTGTCTAAGCTAATCTTAAAGGTAAAGGTTTCCCCTTGACATTAAGTCAAGTCGTGTCCAACTCTGGGGGGGTGGTGCTCATCTCCATTTCTAAGCCGAAGAGCCAGCAGTGTCCCTAGACCTCCAAGGTCACGTGGCCGGCATGATTGCACGGAGTGCTGTCACCTTTCTGCCAAAGTGGTACCTAATTATCTACTTATATTTGCATGTTTTCTGTTAGGTTGCCAAAAGCTGGGGCTGGCAGCAGGAGGTCACCTCGCTCCCCAGATTTGAATCACCAACCTTTCAGTCAGCAGGTTCAGCAGCTCAGCGGGTTAACCTGTTGCACAACTAGGAGGCCCTAAACTAATTTCTAAGCTCAAATTCTCCTTGCCCCCATTCAGGGGTCCATGAATGGCCCTAAACCAGTAAGCGAATGGGATTGACAAATTGGTATGTTGGGCATTACCACTACAAAATGGTACAGTGCCTTATTTCAAAACAGATGGGATGGGTGTCTACTGAGCTCAGGATTCATCTCCACACTCAGCCCTGGAAGCCCAAAAGGTGACCTTGGGCAAGTCACACTCTGTCACCTTCAGCGGAAAGGAAAGGCAAACCCTCTCTGAACAAATCCTACCAAGAAAACTCAGGGACAGCTGGAACCAGCTTGATGGCACACAACAGCAACACAGGCCAGTGAGAAGGTGATCAGGTGGGAGTGCTGGCTTCCAGTGGGAGCTCTCCCTGCCAGAATCCCTGCCTGGAGTACCTAGTGCTGGAGCCCACCCTGACTCCACTATGGTCTGACTCAGAAGAAGGCACGCTTCCCTCCGTGTTTCCTGTGTTGTGAGGGAAGAGAGTTACTCATCTTATCATGTGATGAGTTGGATCTTGAGCCCAGTTTTCTTGCTTCCCTGGAAGGAACACTTCATCCACGCCTGTTGGAAAGAAGCAGCCCACCTACACACCTCAGTGGGAGCCAAACAGGGCATGGGCTGTGGAGGAGAGCACTTTCCCTGAGGCACAAGCAGGCATTGGCAGGGCTGGGTTACTGTGAGTTTTCCAGGCTGTATGTTCCAGAAGCATTCACTCCTGACGTTTCACCCACATCTATGACAGTCATCCTCAGAGGTTGTGAGGTTTGTTGGAAACTAGGCAAGTGGGGTTTATATATCTATGGAATGTCCAGGGTGGGAGAAAGAACTCTTGTCTGTTGGAGGCAAGTGTGAGGGTTGCAGCTGGTCACCTTGATTAGCACTGAATAGCCTTGCAGCTTAAAGGCTTGGCTGCTTCCTGCATGGGGGGAATCCTTTGTTGGAAGGTGATTAGCAGGCCCTGATTGTTTCTTGTCTGAAATCCCCCTGGTTTTGTATTTTGTGTTATTCTTTACTTACTGTCCTGATTTTAGAGTTTTTTTTTAAAATACTAGTTGCCAGATTTTGTTCATTTTGGGAAAGATATGGGGTGACTGCTGGCCCAGCGATGATGACAACGGATGCCACTGGAGAGTTGCTTGTGGGGTCAAGGTGAGGATTGTGCCCCCAGGCAGGAAGCAGCCAAGTCTTGAAGCTGCAAGGCTATTCAATGCTAATCAAGGTGATGAATTGCAGCGTTCACACTTGCCTCAAGCAGACAAGAATTCTTTCTCCCACCTGGGACATTCCGCAAGATACATGAACCCCACTTGCCTAGTTTCTAACAACCTCTGAGGATGCCTGCCATAGATGTGGGCAAAACGTCAGAAGAGAATGCTCCTAGAACATGGCCAGACAGCCCAGAAAACTCAGAGCAACCCAGTGATTCCGGCCATGAAAGCCTTGGACAACACATTGGCAGGGCTGCTTCTCCAGGCCAGAGGGAAGGAAGGAAGGGCTAAGGAGAGAGGGGAGGGGGCACAGCTGGAAACCAAAACCAACAGAAACTAGGAAACCCAACAGAAACTGAGCCAAGGAATGAATGCCTCAGGAGACATCCCAGCAGAGCACCTGGGGTGGGAGAAAGAACTCTTTTGTCTGTTGGAGGCAAGTGTGGATATTGCAATTGATCACCTTGATTAGCATTGAATAGCCTTGCAACTTCAAGGCTTGACTGCTTCCTGCCTTCCAATCCCCACTTTGCCCCCACCTGCAGTTTTCCAGTGGCATCCCTTGCCACCATCGCCGGGCCGGTGGTGCAATGAGTTAAAGCCTTGTGCTGGCAGGATTGAAGACCGATAGGTCGGAGGTTCGAATCCGGGGAGAGCGTAGATGAGCTCCCACTGTCAGCTCCAGCTCCCCATGCGGAGCTGACAGAGAGGCAGGATGGGCCAGGGCGAGGGAAGCCCACAAGGATGGTAAAACACCAACAACATTTTGGCGTCCCCTGGGTAACGTCCTTGCAGACGGCCAATTCTCTCACGCCAGAAGCGATTTGCAGTTTCTCAAGTCACTCCTGACACCCCCCTGCCTCTTTCCCAAGGCAACATGAAACTCATAAACATGTACTGCAGGCACACGATAGAGTAGGCGCTGCCGGCCACGGCCAAGCTGTCCTGTTTATGCTCCCGATACTGGAAGACAGGCGGGAGAAATCAATCGGAGGCCCCCAAACCGAAAACACAGCCCCAGAGGGAGCGGGCCAGGGCGGGCCAGGGCGAGGGAAGCCCTTCCTGGGCAGGAACTTCCACCAGTTCGAGAGGCGCAGCCCACACGCCCAGCCTCCCCCCGGTTCTCGCCTCCGCATGCTCACCTCGACCAACTGGACGTAGCTGGCGGGGAACCACCCGCGGAGCCCCTCGGCGGTCTCGCCTTCCCACCAGCCGCCGTCGGGCCCCGCCTGCAGGACGGTGAGCAGCTCCCCGGCCGCGAAGCGCAGCCCTTGCCGGTGCCGCTCCCCGGAGAAGGGGTACAGGGTCCGGCAGCGAGCCCCCAGCCCCGGCACCAGCCCCGGAGGAGCCATCGCACGCTTCAGCCAAACAGGCACGCCGCCCGGCACTCGCCCCTCGCCCGCCGAGTGCACTCTGGCCGCCGCCACAGGTGCCGAGTGCCCGGTCGCCTCCGCTGCCTGGCCGCCCCGCCCACTCGCCTTCCCTCCCTCGCCCTGATTGGGCACCGCCGCGCCTCTCGCCCCGCCTCCCCGTCATAGCCCCGCCCCCTCCCCAACTGGAGGCAGCCATGCGCTGTCGTTGCTGCTGCTGCTGCTGCTGCTGCTGCTGCTCTCCCTCGCCCACCCGCTCCGAGACAACTCGGGGGAGCGGGTGGGGCACCGCCCACGGCTGGGCTTCTCTCTGGAGGTGTGCTGGGATTCCGCCAACACGTTTACCTGCGGACACTTGCGCCCTAGAAGTGCCCTATATCCCAGCATCTCATCCCAGGTGTTCTGTTTATCTTTGGCAGTGCAGTGGGTTAAACCCCTGTGCGGGCAGGACTGAAGATCGACAGGTCGCAGGTTCGAATCCGGGGAGAGCGTGGGTGAGCTCCCTCCATCATCAGCTCCAGCTCCTCATGCGGGGACATGGGAGGAGCCTCCCACAAGGATGATAAAACATCTGGGCCATCCAATTGCAGATGGCCAATTCTCTCACACCAGAAGCGACTTGCAGTTTCTCAAGTCACTCCTGACACCACCAAAAAAAGTGCAGACTCATATACAAAGTAAAGGTAAAGTTTTCCCCCTTGACATTGAATCTTAGTGGTGCTCATCTCCATTTCTAAGTTGATGAGCCGGTGTCGTCCCTAGACGCCTCCAAGGTCATGCGGCCGGCATGACTGTATGATGCCATTACCTTCCCGCCTGAGTGGTACCTACTGATCTACTCACATCTGCATGTTTTCAGTCTGCTAGGTTGGCAGAAGCTGGGCCTAACAGTGGGAGCTCACCCCGCTCCCCGGGTTCGAACCACCAACCTTTCGGTCAGCAATTTCAGCAGCTCAGTGGTTTTACCTACTGCACCACCAGGGACTCCTCATATAATCTAGTTTAAGGCAAAAATCCAGGATCAGATCCTGGGATATAGGGCCTGTCTGGAAGAGCCCTCAGTGGTGCACCAGGTGTACACACCCCTTGGCTCAAGTATTTTCATTTTTCCCTGCTCTAACCAGAAGCAAAGAGCCTAGTTCCTACCCCAAACTGCACAATTAAAACCTGCCTTGGTGTGTGTGTGGAAATGTGGAGATGGTTGTAGCAGCCATTTTTACAATACTTCTCTTAAAATAAAATTTAAAAAAACATTTTTTTTGTTTCTCTCTTTCTCAGAATATTTAAAAAAGGAGAAGGGGTTTTGACGCAGCAACGACAACAACTCTGTATTCTTGGTGTATAAACCCAACTGGTCTTGAAAGGCAGGCAAAAAGAATCCTAGAGTTGGAAGAGACCGCAGGGGCCATCCAGTCCAACCCCATGGCAGGAAGGAAAAAGGCAATCATGGATCAAGTGGAGAAGGGAATAACTGTATGCCACTTTTGAGAGCCACTGGGATGTTCTGGCTTGAGCATTGGATTAGGAGTCTAAGGGCCCTTCCAGACAGGCCTTGGATCCCAGGATCTGATCCTAGGTTTTCTGTTTTAAACTGGATTATATGAGTCCAACTGCCAGATAATCTGGAATAAACAGAAAACCTGGGATCAGATCCTGGGATATAGGACCTGACTGGAAGTGTCCTTAGAGACCTGTGTCAAATTCCTGCTCAGCTGTGGAAACCCACAGAGTAGCCTTGGCAAGTCACACCCTCAGCCTCAGAGGAAGGCAACCCACTCAGCGAACAAATCATGGAAACTTTAGAATAGCTTGGATTTAGGATTGCCATTAGTCAGAAACAACCTGAGGGCACACAGTAACAACCAATGCTAATTTTAGCCATGATATGCATGATATTTATGACACTGATTGGCTCATTGCATCTCTGTTTGCTCGTGGAATCTTTGGGCAAGTCACATGCTCTCAGCCTCAGAGGAAGAGAATGGCAAATTCCCTCTGAAAAAAAACCTCTTAACCAAGAAAGCCCCATGATATGTTGGCCTTAGGGTCACCCCAATCAGAAACGACTTCAATTTGTAGTCTTGCAAAGTTATTCTATCTTCTTCCTTACTAAAAAAAAATATATATCATTTTTTAAACTGATGGCGTAGGAGTCCCCTGCTAGAATTATAGATCGATAGAATAATAGAATTGGAATATACTGCATGGGCCATCTAGTTGAAGCCCTGGCCATGCAGGAAAAGCACAATCAAAGCACCCCTGACAGATGGCCATCCAACCTCTGTTTAAAAGCCTCCAAGGAAGGAGCTTCCACCAAACTCTGAGGCAAAGAGTTCCAGTGCTGAACAGCTTGTATGGTCAGGAAGCTCTTCCTAATGTTCAGGTGGAAATTCCTTTCCTGTAATTTGAACCCATTGCTCTGAGTCCTAGTTTCCAGCACAGCAGAAAACAAGCCTGCTCCCTCTTCTGGATGGCATCCTTCAGGTAGAGTGATTTCAATAAGCCTTTGCTCCAGTTTGAGGGATTTACTTTCTACAGAAAGTAAGTACACTCAGACCACCTTAGAGTGCCTCTCCTTTTCATCCCTCTGTGAAAGATGTCAATAAAACTATGTATCTTTTCAGTTTAGCTTTTTAAAAACATTTTGAAGAAAAAGTGTTCTACAAGAGAGAAAGTAGAGTCAAGAAGCAGTGGGTGCAAGAACAGAAGAAAAAAATAAAGTGGGAAAAGGAAAGCTACCACATTTTCCTGTCTGCAAATGCAGAAAGTTCAAGTGGAGGCCAAACTGTTGTTAGCGTCTTTCAAGGATACCTGAAGGCATGGTCTGAAAGGAACGCCTTGGCAAACTTTATTTCAAAAGAGAAGGTGAAGTTTCAGTACTTCAAACCCAGCCAAACCCTGCAGGAAAGTTTGCACTAGAGAGATAATGCTGAAAATGAATGTCATTTGAAGCAAAAACTTGAATCTGTCAAGTCTCTTGTGTGTTAAAAGCAGCAGTGAAGCCTCTTGTTTACAGAAAATCAAGGGTTTTTTTTTCTTATCTATTTAACTTCCCATAAAAGCAAAACCAATAAATTGGTATTCTCATAAAACCAAAACAAGTAAGTTGGTATTTCATGGTCTGGACTCTGGAGGGTAAACCATGTAAAACACCTTTGGAGAACTCCTTATGATACTCAAAGTAAGAGCAGAATCATGCCTATCGAGAAATTGTACTTGACTCACCTAATGTGTGTATAGGATTGCAGCTCAAAGGACTTCTTCCATTCTTAAGGCCTATCCTTCTCTTTCCTAATAAGCCTTTTCATGGAGGAATACATCTACTTCAAGCCCAAGGTTGCCATATTAACATTGTAAGCATGAGCAGCCCTTGAAGAATTGGCAGATGAAGAATGACACACTCATTGTTCATGATTGACTTGGGAATATGACATTTGCATATAAGGTTGGCAATCCTATGAAATTATGCCACTGTCATCCTTGCTTGTATCGTACCTCCAAGCAGCACTAGTATCAGCTCTTCCATAATACGAATGGGAGAAAGAAACACAAAGGGAACAGCACCAGAACAAGAATCTAGCTATCACTTTGATGATATCATATCATGGATTCAGGAAGACACCAGGTTTGCAAAGCTCAAAACCATATGGCCATTGAATTGCCACTGGCTGGTATTATAAGAATGGTAGTATATTTGTTAAGTATGAATAACAAATAAAGACTAGTTAAAGCAATGGTATTCCCTGTAGTCACCTATGGATGTGAGAGCTGGACCATAAGGAAGGCTGAGCGAAGGAAGATAGATGCTTTTGAACTGTGGTGTTGGAGGAAAATTTTGAGAGTGCCTTGGACTGCGAGAACATCCAACCAGTCGATCCTCCAGGAAATAAAGTCAAACTGCTCACTGGAGGGAAGGATGTTAGAGGCTAAGATGAAGTACTTTGGGCACATAATGAGAAGACAGGAAAACTTGGAGAAGACAATGATGCTGGGGAAAATGGAAGGAAAAAGGAAGAGGGGCAGACCAATGGCAAGATGGATGGATGGTATCCTTGAAGTGACTGGCTTGACCTTGAAAGAACTGGGGGTGGCCACAGCCCAACAGGGAGCTCTGGCATGGGCTGGTCCATGTGGTCACAAAGAGACAGAAGTGACTGAACAAATAAATAACAACATGCATAATGCAATGCAATCCAGGTAAATAAAGAATTGAAATTGTGTAGTTTTCCAGATGTAGATCTGCAGCTACCAGCATTAATTACATGACTCATCTACATGGTTATTAAAACCTGGACTTACCCTGTGTTTGCTCCTGTTCATCTTCATGCCCTTCCTCCACTTCCAGTGAGTAGTACAGGTCCACTGAGCTAATTTGGCTTTATCTTGATTCAGTTAAACTTGGTTGATGCTCTGGAGTTTGCTTGAAACTCCAAAGTACCCCATGTCTTTGGTGCAGTGTGGACAGTGCTGCCATCATCTTTCCCTGCATTCAACAACATGGGGAAAATGGATGTATCATGCCTGTGTCTCTATCATTGCTACTCCTAGATGCCCTCAGAAATCCATGTGAGCTCCTGGCCATGATGGGCACCCTATCCTGACATCAACAGAGGCATCTGCACAAGCAGGAAGAAGGTGGTGATATCAACTCCTTCTTCCTGACTGCGCATGTACTACTGATGTCTAAACAGGATGCCTGTGATGGATAGGAGCTCATACAGAACTTTGTGGTTGTCTGGGAGCATTGGTGGTAAGAAGGAAGGAAAGGTCCAGTGGGGCTGATGCAGCGTTGGCCCAGCTGGACCATCTAAACTCCAACCTGCCACTGCAGCAGATTTGATAGCATGCATGTAGCCACCTCCAGAGCCAGTCTGAGACATTCCTGCTACGGCCTAACCTAGCAGTACAAAATCATTTTGAGGGATGTACAATGCAAATTCCTGATGTAGACAGTGGCACTCAGGAAAATAGCAATTTAGTTATTCAAAGTTAGATTAATCATAGATGAAATTAATGGTTCAGTGAAGCCTTGGTGAGATCATTGAGAGTGAAGAAAAAGCATAAAGCAAAATTAA